TCTCCTCGTTGGCAGCTGGCTGCCCCCTTCTCCCGTGTGATCTGACCTGAGCCTTGACCCCCTGTGTCGCCTGCCCTCTGAGGCGGTCCCCGCCCGCCCGCCTGGCCGCTCCCCCAGCTTCTGTGCCGGGGTGGGTGGCGTCTCGGAGCCGCTTGCGCCGCCTGCTGGCGGTCCTGGCCCTTGATCCCCCTCTTTCCCCTGTCTTTTGCCCCCCGTTTCCCCTCCTCACACCTCTCTGACAGTCACTGGGCTGGCTCCCAGGCACCCTCCGCTTTCCCTGCCGCCCGCTGTGCCCGATCGGCTCCTCGCAGCCCCGCGCTCCGCCGCCCTGTCTGTTGGTTGGTTTCGTACTTATATTGTCCAGAGCTAGTGGGCACGGCTTGTGTGTCCCCAGCCCTTTAAAGGGCCCGGTTCTCTGTAATCTCAGTCAGTCAGTCAGTCGGCGCATTTGTTGTGTCCCCAGCCCTTAAGAAGGCCCGGTTCTCTGTAATCTCAGTCGGTCAGTCAGTCCGCGCTCTTTCGTGGCGGCATCTGGGCGGCGGCATGGCGTTACGGCGCCTCCCCGGTGGTCATTCTTTCGCCAGAGCTAGTCGGCACGGCTTGTGTGCCCCCAGCCATTATGGGCCTTGCCTCTGAAATCTAAGTCAGTCAGTCACATACCTCCACATGCCCCCCTCCCACGCCTCCGCTCACCAACGAGAAAGAACATGGTGGTAATTAAACAGAAGTAAACAGATGGCAGTTCAAAACAACGCGCACATTTGCAATCCACGAATGGCGGGGCGTCAGCTGGAGCGTTTGATGGGCAGCGGGAAGAAGCCGTTCCGCAGGCGGCGCGCCGCTGGGTCGTCCAGGCACTGGCACTGGCTGGGGTCGCACACTGGGTAGGGGATGTCGACTGAGCAGCGGCAAGCGGCGGTGACGGACGCATTCCAGCAGTGGAAGGCCAGGCCCCACGCCCGCTCCATCACCTGCAAAACGAAGGAGAGAAGGAGACGGAGGGCAACCGAGGGGATGAGGGATACAAACCAGTGGGCGCTTGGCTGCCCACCAGAGCCGGCCTCCTCCCATCCCAAACCGGCCGCCCAACAAATCCCGACCACTCGCCTGGCCAAACAACGGGTCTGCAGGCGACGCGGCAGTCGCCCAGCGCTGCATGTCGGCTGGGTCTTGCAGGAAGGAGGCGTCCCCCCTGGGCAGCATGTCGGGCCCCAGCAGCTGGAGCAGCTGCTCGAAGAAGCGGAGCGGCCTCGCGCGGATGCGGCGCCGCGACACCACAAACTGGTTGCGGGCAAAGTGGGAGAAGGCCTCGCCGGTTTGCAGGTGGCAGAACTGGCGCAGCAGCGGGGAGCGGGGCGCACAGGCGAGGGGAGGCGGGCATTGGGGGGGTGGCGCTGGGAGGTGGTGCTCTAGCTGACCAGGGCGCTCTAGCAGCCACAAACGGGCCGCGCACGCTCGCCACAGGCGCAGGGCACGGGTGCAGTACGGGCACCGGTGCAAGAGGCGGAGAGGCGGGCGGTCACACTTGCAAAGCGAGAGCGCAGGCAGGCCTCACCCGCTTGCTCATGAAGTGGAACATGTCTCGCAGGCCCATGAGCGTCCCCTGGAAGCCGCACCCCCTCACACAGCTGCGCAAGGAAAGAAAGGGAGGCACGGGGCTGGCAAGCCTGAGGAGGCGTGTCCCTGAGAGGTCGGCTGGAGTGAGGAGCTATGGGGGCAGGAGGGAGCAGTGCCGTGCTAGCACGCAGCTGCCATCAGCAGTAGAGGCGCCCTCGCCAGGCCAGCCTGCCCTGCCTGCTCCCGCAGCAGCCCAAAGCAGGCCCCACCCAGCCTCCCACCACCTCCCGCCCCGCCTTGCCTGCAGAAGCTGGGCGCGCTGAGGCCGAGGTAGCCCGTCTGTGGCACCAGCAGGCGCTCGAGGCGCATGAAGGCATCGTCCAGGTGGTGGGCGGAGGAGAAGAAGAGCGTGTGGCCCGCCAGGGTATCATACCGCTGCACCATGTGCGTCAGGAAGCTCTGCGGGCAGGGGAGGCGGAACAGGAAAGGGGGAGGCAGGTGGGTGAGAAGGAGGGCAGGGGTCCACGAAAGCCAGCGCCAGCACCAGCGGCCTGGCAGCGGCCGCGCAGCAGCAGGCTGTGGCCCAACGCACAGCTGCCCGGCAGGCATCGATCAACAGCTGCATGGGTGTGCAAGGCGGGCAGCCGTGGGGCTTGGGGGGGCACTGCTGCCCCAGCCAGGGCCGGCCGCCTCGCTCGCGAGCGCTCACGTGCGGCGCGCCGCCCACATCCTCCTGCTTGATAACGTTCAGCTGCGGCGCAAAGGCCCAGCGCTCCTTCAGGGCGGCCACATCAGTGTCGTCCCCCTTGACATACAGCGTCACCGACGGCGCCAGCGTGGAGATGGCAGACAGGTTGAGCAGGCGCCCCAGGTCGGCCTGCGCCGTGTCCAGCGACCAGCCCGTGCGGTGCGCCACCACGATCTCCAGGCGCAGGCTGCTGCTGCTGCTGCTGCCGTTGCCGGCGGCGGGGGATGGGGCGTCTGCGTCTGCCGGGTACAGAACATCCGTCTCGCCCACGCTGTCCCAGCCCGCCACCGCCGCCGCCGAGGGCGAGGCCGCCCGCTGGAAGACCTGG